AAATAAATAAATAAATAAAATAATTTTGAAAACCCATAGTAAATAACAAGATAATATAATTAAATAGACAACTTAGCATAATGTATGGCACAAATAAAGAATTCAATTAGCATTAACTGTTATTATTACTGTGGTAGTGGTAATATTACTCTTATGAATGTGTGACATACTTAGAATTTACAATGTGTTTAACATTTCCTTTATTCCAAGCTTACAGAATTATTATAAGATGAATATCCTTATAAACACCCAGGCCAAAAATCAGAACTTTGACAGCCACACTAGACCGCTTTGTACATGTTCCATTCTAATCACAGCCTCCTGTCTCCCTCCAGGAGTAACCTGACTTCCATAGTCATTGCTTCCTTGTGTTTCTTCATGTTTTTGTCATCCAATTTTTTATTTATACATCCTATTATTATCTTTTTAAAAACTTTTTTATAGTCTATTTTAATCTATAGACTCCTTCTCCATCTCTTTCTCTGTCTCTTTTTATTACAATAAATATGCTGAAGAGCTCAAGTTTTTTGTCCTATACAGTTTCCCACTGCCTGCATTTTGTTAATTGCATCCTCATGGAACCAACTCCTTCCTCTATCCCGTTTGGCTTGGAAACTGGCAGCTGCTTGCAGAAGCTTGATCAGACTCAGCACCTATCCATTCAATGAGACTCTAGGGTTATGGTGTGGTTTTGAATCAGGAGGCACATTATGTCCAATTTTTCTTCCTTTTTTTCTTTTTTTACTATTGCCTAAACTTCAGACTTTATTTGGATTTTCTTCCATTTTGAAGTTTGTTGCCAATTATGCTCAATTTCTAGATCCCCCCATTCATTGGGAATTGCAAAAATGATAATATTCTATTATTTTATGTATTACCTGAAATAATTTTATAAGGAGATGCTTTTCTTAATTATCCATGTTACAAATCACATAGGAAAGACAGGATAGAGCTCTTATTCTTTCATTTTATTTACCCAGTTTTCAAGATACCTAATTCAAAACTAATTCAAGATAATAAGTTAGTTTTCTGACATCTTCTGACATGATAAATGTACTTTTTAATATTTTTATAAATGCATGGGTTTCCATCCATTTCAGTTTCATCTTTATGGAAACTTAAGTTGTTCCATCTTTGGTGAGTGAAAGTCTCTTCAAGTTGGCTTCTGCGTCCTTTGACATGACTCTGGTGGTCTTTGATAGCTTTCTTGCTCGTCATGTACACTTTTGCCCCAGAATGCAAATCAGCCATTTTGTCCAGAAATCCCTGTTCTCTTTTGATGGGATATTGTATTTGAAAACTGAAATCAGGGTATGTAGATACGAATTGATATTGGGTCAGCCATCGTTTCTTGGCATCTTCAGTGGACAAATCTTGGTATTTGTACTAATATTCCAATTCAAACTCAGAATTGCAAGGTTTTTCATTTTCTGTGTTGCATTTATATATCCTGTCTCTCACACTGAGAATCTGAACCTCTAAGATCCAGGGGATAATAAAATTAAAATATTCCACACTTACTCACTTGCTTTATCCCACATTACACACAGATAAAGTTTCAGAATAACAATACCAGTAATACTGTTTTCTAATGTGATTATTAAAATAGTTAAAAATACTAAAGCTTCTACAACTAATATTATTATTTAAAACAGCTAGAACAAATTTTTCACATGCACTCCCCATTCTTCTGCCATTTTGTAAATGATTTGCTACATCTGCATTCTCAAAGGATAAAGCCACTTCAAGTTTCATATGGTCTTAATCATATACCTAACTACACATGTAATACTTACCACTTCCATGTTCTTAATCCCACATCACTCTAGTCATTTCTGGCTGTCTGAAGCTCATTCACTAACACATTGTATTCAAAAGGGAACCTAGTAGCAATGTCTCCTGAGTTATTGCATGTTGACCAGTTTGTGGATGCCATTTATACTTGAAGGACAGTTTTGTTGAATATAAGTTTCTTGAGTCACATTTTCTTTCCTCGAGTATGTTTTATATGGTACTACATTTTCTTCTAGAATTCTAAATTTTCCAATATGAATGTTGAAAGCTCAGAGGATAATCTAATTTCCTTTTTCCCACAAGCTATGTGTTTTTCTTGCCCAGACATACAAAGAGATTCTTGGTGGGCATTTTCCTTTGAGTTGTTTTTATTTCTTTAGTTTCTTTCATTACAACTTTACTAAGATATAATTCATATACCATAAAATTCACCCCTTTAAAGAGTATGACTCAGTGGTACTTTAGTGCATTCACAAAGTTTTACAGCCATCATTACTACCTAATTTTTGGATATCTTAATCACCCCAAAAAGAAATCTCATAAGCATTAATAATCACTCCTCTTCCTCAAGTCCCTGGCAACCACTAATTTACTTTCTATCTCTCTCTTTGGCTATTCTACACTTTCCTATAAATGGAATCACACAATATGGACCTTTTGGAATTTACTTCTTTCACTAAACATGTTTCCAAAGTTTATCTAGGCAGGTATTAGCACTTTATTCCTTTTCGTTGTCAAATAATATTGCAGTGGATTGATCAACTACATATTGTTGAGTCATATATCAGTTTATAGATATTTGGATTTTTTCCATCTTTGGCAATTATAATAGTATAATAATGCTACAATTAAAACGTACGTATGAATTTTTTTATGTATACATGATTTCTTTTCTCTTCATTATATACGTAGAACTGGAATTGCTGGATCAAACGTTAACTATATGTTTAATATTTTTTCTTCATGTTTTTAATTTTAAAATTGCTTTCTCTAAGTCGTTTACTGGCATTTCTCATTAGTTAGGTACACAACTTTACACATGGTTTATATAAGATACTTTAGGATGCAAGTAGCAGAAACTCAACATGAAATGGCTTAAGCAAAAACAGATATGGTGGCTCTAAGGATAGTTAATTGAGAAACTTAAAAACATTATCAATAATCAAAACTGTCTCTATAGTTCCACTTTGTCATTGATTTCTCAATGCTACAAAGTGACTGCAATATCTCAGGTAATCTTGCATCAATGTAAAAAGCAAGAAAAGTGAGCTATTATTTTGTTGTATCTCTATTTTTTATTGTGGTTTTAAAAGTCACACATATCATGAGACCTACCTTCAACAAATTTTTTTAAATTTTTTTATTGTACTTTAAGTTCTATGGTACATGTGCACATGCAGGTTTGGTACATATGTATACATGTGCCTTGTTGGTGTGCTGCCCCCATTAACTCGTGATTTATGTTAGGTATTTCTCCTAATCCTATCCCTCCCCCTCCCCCTCCCCCCTCCCCCCACCCCACAACAGGCCCTGGTGTGTGATGTTCTCCACCTTGTGTCCAAGTGTTCTCATTATTCAGTTCCCACCTATGAGTGAGAACATGTGGTGTTTGGTTTTCTGTCCTTGCAATAGTTTGCTAAGAATGATGGTTTCCAGCTTCATCCATGTCCCTACAAAGGACATAAACTCATCCTTTTTTATAGCTGCATAGTATTCCATGGTGTATATGTGCCACATTTTCTTAATCCAGTGTATCATTGATGGACTTTTGGGTTGGTTCCAAGTCTTTGCTATTGTGAATAGTGCCACAATAAACATGCATGTGCATGTGTCTTTATAGTAGCATGATTTATAATTCTTTGGGTATATGCCCAGCAATGGGATGGCTGGGTCAAATGGCATTTCTAGTTCTAGATCCTTGAAGAATCACCACACTGTCTTCTACAATGGTTGAACTAGTTTACAGTCCCACCAACTATGTAAAAGTGTTCCTATTTCTCCACATCCTCTCCATCACTTGGTGTTTCCTGACTTTTTAATGATCACCATTCTTACTGGTGTGAGATGGTATCTCATTGTGGTTTTGGTTTGCATTTCTCTGATGGCCAGTGACGATGAGCATTTTTTTCATGTGTCTGCTGGCTGCATAAATATCTGCTTTTGAGAAGTGTCTGTTTATATACTTTGCCCACTTTTTGATGGGGTTGTTTTATTTTTTTCTTGTAAATTTGTCTAAGTTCTTTGTAGATTCTGGATACTAGCCTTTTTTCAGATGGGTAGATTGCAAAAATTTTCTCCCATTCTGTAGGTTGTCTTCCTCAAGATTGTTTTGGCTATTCAGGGTCCTTTGTGACTCCACATGAATTTTAAGATTTTTTTCTGTTTTTGTAGAATGTGTTATTGGAATTCTGTTAAGGATTGAATTGAATCTGTAGATTTATTTGAGTAGTATGGACATTTTAGTGTTATTGTCTTCCAGTTTATGGACATAGATGCCTTCCCATTTATTTTTATTTTTTAAAATTTATTTTCCAATGTTTTATAGTTTTCTGTGTCCAAATCAACATTGAATAGAAGTGGCAAGAGTGGGCATTCTTACCCTAATCTAAGAGGAAAACCCTTGTTTTTAATTGAAGAGGAAAAATTTTTATTTTTGTATTATTTAGTATGATAGTAGCTGTGGGGTTTACATATATGACCTTTTGTTGTGTTGAGGCAAATTCCTTCTATTTGTTGAGCGTTTTTAATCATGAAAAGGGGTTGAATTTTATCAAATAATTTCTCTGAACCTATTGAGATGATTATCTAATTTTTAATCCTTCCTTCTGTTAATGCGATGTATCATTATGCGATGAATGAATTTTGTGTGTTGAAACATCCTTGCAATCCAGGGTTAAATTTCACTTGGTCATAGTATATAACCTTCCTTCTTTCTTTCCTTTCTTTCTTTTTTTTTTTTTTTTTTGAGATGGCACCTTGCCCTGTCCTCGCCCAGGCTGGAGTGCAGTGAGGCTATCTCTGCTGACTGCAACGTCCTCATCCTCCTGGATTCAAACGATTCTCCTGCCTCAGCCTCCCGAGTAGCTGGGACTACAGGCGCTTGCCACCAGCCTGGCTAATTTTTTGTATTTTTAGTAGAGACAGGGTTTCACCATGTTAGCCAGGATGGTTTCTATCTCCTGACCTCGTGATTCGCCCACCTTGGCCTCCCAAAGTGCTGGGATTACAGGCGTGAGCCACTGCGGGTAATCTTTTTAACGTGCCATTTAATTCAGTTTGCTAGCATTTTGTTGATGATTTTTGCATCTGTATTTATCAGGTAGATTGGACTGTAATTTTACCTTCTTGTAATGTCTTTGCGTAGATTTGACATCAGGATAAGGTTGGCCCTTATAAGTTTGGAAGTGTTTTGTCTTTAATTTACAGAAAAATTTGAGAATGATCGGCACTAATTCTTTAGATGTTTGTGAAATTCATCATTGAAGCCACTTGGTTCTAGGTTTCTCTTTCTTGGGAGGTTTTTGATTACTGATTAATCTTCTTAGGAGTTACAGGTCTATTCGGACTTTATATTTCTTCTGGATTCAGTCTTGATAGTTTGTATATTTTATGAATTTATTCAATTTTTTCTAGATTGTCTAATTTGTTGGCATGTTATGATCATTTGTATTTTTGTAGTATTGGCTGTAAGGTCTCCTTTTTCATTTCTGGTTTTATTTATTTGAGGTTTTTTTTTCTCTCTCTCTGTCTTTTTTTTTTCCTTCTTTATTTAGCCTGGCTAAAGTTTTAATGATGTTGTTCATCTTTTCAAAACATTAACTTAGTTTCATCTTTTTTTCTTTGTTTTTTCTGTTCTGCACTTTATTTATTCCTGCTCTAATTATTTTCTTCTTTCTGCTTAGTTCAGACTTAGTTTGTTCTTCTTTTCGTAGTTCCTTGAGGTGTAAAGTTATTATCGGAGATATATCTTTTTTAATATAGATATTTATCACTATAACTTCCCTTTTAGTACTGTTTTTGATGCATCTCATAAGTTTCATTATTTTCTGTTTTCCTTTTCATTTGTCTCAAAATATTCTTCAATTTTCCTTTTGATTTTTTTATTTGATCCATTGATGGTTCAAGAGGTGATTTTTTTTCACTTCCACGTATTTGTGAGTTTTTTCAATATTCCTTCTGCTATTGACTTCTAGTTTCATTCCTTTTGTTGGAAAAAAATATTTGGAATGATTTAAATCTCCTTAAATTAGTTAACACTTGTTTTGGGATGTAACATATGATCTATCCTGGAAAATGTTTCATGTGCACTTGAGAAGAATGGGTATTCTGCTATTTGAGGGTAGAATGTTCTGTATATGTCTGCTAGTTCCATTTGGATTATAGTGTTATCCAGATGTTCCATTTCCTTATTGATCTGTCTGTATGTTCTATCCATTATTAAAAATGGGAAATTGAAGTCTCCTACTATTATTGTGTCTCTGCCCATTTCTTCAGTTCTGTCAGTGTTCACTTCATCTATTTAGGTATTCTGATATTGGGTACCTGTATAACTATAATTGTTATGGCTTCCTGGTGAATTGATGCTTAAATCATTATATGATGATCTTCTCTGTTTCTTGTGAACATTTTTTTGACTTAAACTCTATTTTGTCTGATGTAAGTACCACCACCCCTTCTTTCTTTTGATTACCACTTGAAATTAATATATTCTTTCATATTTTTGTCTTAAGCCTATATGTGTTCTTTAATCTAAAGTAAGTCTGTTATAGATAGTATATAGCTGACACTTATGTTTGTTTGTTGCTTGTTTACTTTTATCAAGTAAGCCCCTCTATGCCATTTGATTAGGATGTTTAATCCCTTTATATTTAAGGTAATTATTGATAAGGAAGGAGTTAGTATTTCAATTTTGTTGTTTTCTATGTGTCTTTTAGCTCTTTGCCCCTCTTTTCCTCTGTTGCTCACTTCCTTTGCATTTTGTTGATTTTTATTGTTGTGACATACTTTGATTTCTTTTGTATTTTTCTTTGTGTGTTTTCTATAGTTATTTTTTGTAGTTACCACAGGGTTTACAGAAAACATAATTTTTTCATGCTTTTTATTATTTATTTATTTGATGATCTGACAAGATAATTTCAAATGATCTGACTTTGAGTTCATCATTCTTTCTTCTGCTTCATCAAGTCTCTTGTTGATCACCTCTAATTCATTTTTCAATTCAGTTATTGCTTCAACTCCAAAATTTCTCTTTTGTCTTTTTTTATACTTTCTTTTTGTTATTTAATTGTTATCTTTCTATCAAATTGTGTTCATGCATCCTTCTCCTGAACTTATTTAGCATCTTTATGAGGGCTATTTTGAATTACTTGTCTGGTAACTTATATACCTCCATTTTCTTAGGGTCAGTTTTTACAGATTTACTTTATTCTTTTTACTGGGCCACTTTTTTTCTATTTCTTCATGTTTCTTGTAACTTTGAATTGATGCCCATACATTTGGGGGAAAAAAATCCACCTCTCTTAAGTCTTTACAAACTGGCCTCATACAGGAAAATACTTTTACCACTCACATTGGCTAGAGATTTTGAGGCCTTTCAGACTTTTTCTGTAAATATGTCTTCTCTTGACTTGTCTGTGTATATTCCTAATTAGAGGAATGTGTCTGCTTCTTTTTATTTTCAGGATATTATCATCTCTTGTTCCTGTTGGTGTCCGTCTGCTGTACACAGGCCCTCTGAAGAAGTAGCATGCTGCCCAATTCTTTTTGTTACTGTTGTTCCAAGTGTCCCCAAGGCATTCCAGGTCCCATCCATACTCTTACACTGAAGAGACAGAAATCAGCTCCTTAGACAATTTCTTTAAAAGTTGGAATGTTGGATGTACATTCTCCTCTTCTCTATTCTGCTAAGGGAGAGATTGTCATGCTGTGTCAGGCTCTGTCTACTCTGTAATAGACCCTCAGGACCAGTAGCACCCTGCATAACTCTTTTTTTATTCCCACTGACCCCCAAATATCTGGATTACGCTAGGCCCCATCAGTGCTCCAAGACAGAAAAGAAGGTGTCAGCCCCTTAAACAGTCCCACAAAAAGTCAGAACATAGTACATAAAGCAATAAGGCAGAGTCTTCTCTCTTTCTCCACCCAGAGAAGCTAATAGCTTAGAGTTTTCTCCTGATTGCATAATGCTGGGCTAGGGAAAGGAACTATGACAAAAGACTGCCACAAGTTTTTCTGTTATCTTTGATGAGGCTTATTCTATGCTTGTCGGGGTGCAGGAACATATTAACTGGCTTCTTGATTTCTCATAAAAGGAACTAGTTTATGTATTGTTCTTAAATTTGTGTTTCCATGGGAGTAAAGAGAATATGGACCTTCCTATTCCACTATCTTGCCTACGTCACTGTCCTATTATGTGTCTTTTTAAGAGCTATGAAATCCTTCCTAGAAACCCCTAAGTAGGCTTTCTCTTAAATCTCATTGACCAAAATTAGGTCTCTCAGACAGCCCCCTCGTTAGGTCAATCAATGACATTGTGTCCCACTGGCACTAGGAACTAGGACAAGTAAATTTTAATTTTGCAAATATTGCAAGGATATTTATTTCTTTTGTATAATAAAATAAATGAGTTCTGAGAAATTGGCAGGAAAGAAAGATAAGTAGAACACTAATGGTGTTAACATTGCAGCAAGGCTATATTTTGTGGAATTTCTGTCTATATAAGCAAAAATTCTTAAGTTGGCAAGAATTGACATATCAGGACTATGTGGAGGCCCAACCTTGCATGAAAGAAATAACACAGTGCAGCTAGTGTGGTCTGCTCACCAGACCATTCTCCTGGTACTGGGGTCTGACTCTGGGACATCCTTCTAGGCATGGATCTCTGAGCATCTTTGAGTACCTGGTTGACCCAAGCAAAAAATAAAGAGTCAAGATACTCTGCATGGGAGAAATGGGGACAAGGGCCCATGCAGTTCCTTGTGCCAATTCAGGATGCCCCATTTGGGTAACACTGCCAATTCTGGTTCATTACAGTAATCAAGGGGGATTTTAGACACTTTACAGAACTCCAAAGCTAAGGGCCCCTTGAAGTACAGAACCCTGAGCATAAACACTACTTGCCTGAGGATAGAAGGAGTACTGAGAATCTGAGTTGGTTCAGACCTCCAGAAAGAATGATAAATGGGGAAGAAAAATAAGAGCACAAAGGAAAGTGTTGTCAAAGGGCCAAATTGCAACACTTCAGGACAGGGGTGGTAACAGGTTTCAGCTGGAACATAAGCTACTACCTTATGATTATGGCTGCCTAGAACTCTGTGTGGAGGATTCTGAAGCCAAAGCTAGACTCCATAGCTCAAGACCATGATCAGAAAAAGGTTTTAGCATGAGTATGGGATAAAGAGTAGGAAAGACTGATATTAAATGCTTGCCATTCTGACTGAGAAGAGTTGTCTTAGCCCCTAACACCTTGAGTTTCTGTAAAAGCAGGCATATCCCACCACACTGGTGTTCATTAGTCTGTGTTAAAGTATTCAAAAGGTTAGATCATTCTGCAGCCATCAGAAGGAAAAGAGCATGCTTATAATTCACCTGGTAGTTATCAGGTACAGGAATGTGTCTAGTTGTGTGAAGGTATATGTATGTGAGGAAGGAAAAGTGGTTGTGCGGTGTGTGTGGTGTGTGTGTGTAAAACTATGTGTGTGTTGAGAGGGTGTATGTATTGGGAAGTACGTTGGGAAGCTCAGAGGCTGGGGAAATGTGACTGGATTAAAATGAAAGAATGATTTGACAACCCACCTATTTTTATTTCCTTGCCCAACCTCTAGCCCTGAATCGGGGAAGTTGCTAGCAGACTGTGACACTTCCAAAGCCAGAAGCCTGAAATGACTGCCTAATCAGCTGCCATGTCCGAGAGTTGACTGGGAAGTGTTTTCCAGGAAAGCCTTCTCTGAGGTTGTGTCTAGCTGGCTCTGACAGCAAAAGGAAGATCTCTTTGTTGCAAATATCTGAAATTATTTTCCCAGGGGAGTACAATAAAGCAGAAGCTTATCAGGTATACAAAGCATATTTTTTAAGTTAAATTCCAGCTCTAGGCATAAATGGAAATACGATGTGAACTGAAAGGACAATTCAGCCAGCTGCAGATTTCCATTTATATCTTTTATTAATTGTAGAGATAAAGCCTTCACTTAGGAAATGGCCTGACATGTAAAATTTTCGTAAGCCTAAAAATGTATCTTATGTAACCAAAATGACTTTGGGTTTTAGAGCTGATTTGCAACCTTGGCCTCATATATTCTGCTCTATTTAAATCCTCTAAAGTAAGTACAACTTTCACATAGCTGATAGAAAGTAAACATTTTTCTAGTCATTTTCCCAGAAAGTCAAGCTTACTTTTAGTGAACTGCACATTTCAATGTTTCTCTGAATATTACTGTATACTGCTAAGAGTAGTAAGTATTGATTACCTTCACCATAGCTTATTAATGAATGCATGATGACCAACTGAGGCTCCAAAGCAGTTCCAGTCTAGTGAACACCCACTCCTTTCATGTATAGGTTGGCCCTCAGACCTGAGACCTCCACCATTGTACCAGAGACTTGAACAGGATAGAAGACCATCAAGCTGAAGGATCAGTCCCTCAGGGGAGTGTCATATCAGAGCTCAGGATGTGGTCCAAACTCAAGTTGTTGATATGAAAGGCTCCTGGCAATGAGGGAGAGTCCAAGTATGTTAGTGGCCAGAAGTAGCTGAGAAGATAGAAGATCTGAGTAAGTGAAAGGGGCTAAAGAGTAGCCCATCGTGGGAACTGTTTCCAGTTGTCTCACCTTGGGCAGGGAAGGCCTGAGGAGCAACTCCAGAAGGGACCAACACAACTGTTTTTCGGGTTGGGTTTTGGGGATTCTTTTGTTGTTTGTTTTACTGCGGTGATTCCAATTAGCTGAAGTTTTGTGATATTTTCACTTTCTTTAAGGTAAGAAGGCGAAAAAAGTTGTGGTAGATTTTTAGCTGAAAATTTTGGCTACTACTTTCTGAGGACTAATAGCATTACTTATTATTATTGTACTTGATGCGGCTCTGAGGAAAGAAGCTTTCTATTTAGAAAAATCAATAAGCTATTTAGATGGATAGAAGATTTAAGAAAGAGATATTAAAACAGTTGCATAAAAATTAAGAAGCAATTTGTGTACAGAATGAAGCTAAGGAGAGAGAAGATGAGAGAAGGACTCCAAACAACAAGGTGGATATGGAAGATGCCAATTTGTCATAAATGACTCATTCCTTTTTAAGAACCAGGAAGTCTAAAATCCAATTTAAATAGTCTGTCATTTGTTACCATGTAATAAGTCTTCATCTCTCAGTTATCACCATAGCTCACAAATCTCCAGCAAAAGTCTAGCTTATACCTTGGTGGAAGGGACTTGTAGGTAGGGATTCTCAAGTAAAGGGAATGTGATCCACACTTTGGGCATGCTAAGAGTGTTTCAGCATGATACGAAGTAGGACATAAATGTTCCATAGAAGCTAGAAATTTGCTCTGGAGAATGTTAAGAAAAATATAATCTTTGGGAATTCACAGAAATCTTGGAGAGGACGTTGAATTTATCTTAGCAAGCAGGGATGTGTTAAGCCAGTCTTAACTAGAGGCAGTATTCTACATGTTACTATTGAGAATGATTTAGCAAGTGTATTCTGAAGTGGTGAACAAATCACACTAGGTTTTCTCGATTCTTCAGGGAATAGGGTGATATAACAGAAGTTTTCAATATTAGAGTGGTAAAGCACTAGCACTTACAGAAGAAGAGGGGAAGAGCAGCTGGCATGCCACTGAAATGGATGTAATCTCTAAATCCTCTTCAGTTGTGATGGAGTGTCAAGTAAGGCAGAAGTTTGAAAAGAGAAATCAAAAATACAGAACTATGTCCATAGTTCAAGAAACAGTCTCCTTAAAGCAGATTTTGTTAATTTAGAAAGAATTGCTTGAGTAGTGTGGTGCCCATCAAGATTGTCTGAGAGAAGTGGAGCCTAGTTCCCCAAAAGGAAACATAAAGGAGGCTTGGGCAAGGGGATTCAGAGGACAATATCCAAATGTAGTTATTCAGATTTCCTGCTTGTTGGGCAAGTGGAAATTTGAACCATTAATCTGAAAAATCAGACTTGAAGCTATTTGCAGCCCGAGCTGGTAAAGAGGCTCCCACCTGTCATAATCTCCATTCATAGCTCTTACTGATGTACCCTTAGAGAAGGGAATGTGATTTCCAAGGGAGTGTTAAATGTTTGACTCATGGCAGAAGAAAAAATGGAAAAACACTTGTAGAGGAAAAAGACCTTTGGAGCAAAAAAGACCAAAATTCCAATCCAATTCTGCCACATCTTAACTTTAACATTTAATCTCCCTTATTATCACTCCTGAGACAATAATGCAAGCAAAATCTGTGAGCAGTGATAGGACTGGAAACTTAGAAGAAGGTATACATTTTTGTTTGCTCCCTTTTATGGAAATATTATTAGTTGTGTGCAAAAACAAATTTTGAAAAATAGAATTTTGTCTCTAAGATTACTGCCTTAGTATAGAATAACGAATGCAAGCTTCAGTCATTGTTGGTATACTTTTCTAAATTCTGTTGAACCTACCTAATATTAACTGAGCACCATTTCTTAAAAGTTCAGAACCTGGCCTACTACACATTCTTCAAAATCTACTTCTTTCTCTAATCTTAAATGACTTAAGTAAAAGGTTTTACAAACTTTATCTGTTCATTGGAAAAGAGAAGTAAGCTGCTAACTTTAATTTCTCCACAACTTCTGCTATTTTTAACTAAACTAGTATTGATTTAAAAAGAAAAACAAAAAGACTGAACTGTGACTCAAAAGCAGAGTTGACAAAATCTCTAGAATTTCTACTCCCTTAAGTGACTTAACTCAGCTCAAAGTTGAAAAGGCTTTTAAGCCTGTGAGAAATATTATCCAGTTCTATTCACATTATCATCAGAACCTTTTGCCTCTCTCTTAGTACTTCCACAGAACATATTCTTGGCTAAACTTATTTTTTAATTGAGTTTTCCATTGTTTTAATTTAGATATTCTCTTCAGTGTTTTTAAATCACAATCTATAGCCCCCTGAAAAAATTTGTCTTTTTTATTTTCCTTCTCTTTTTTTTAGCATTTATGAGTCTTCCTCTGCCTGTTGTGTGGGTTTATTTTTCAAATTTATCCCCAGAGTTTCCAATTAAGGAAAATATGGACTCAGGTGCTTAAGTGATGTTGAGCAATTGCATATACATCTGTTAGAAAACTTTTATAAGAAATGAAAGCCTTTTTATTAAACTATAAAATGAAGAGAAAAACCTATTTCTAGTCAGATAAATTGAAAATAATACATTTTAAAGTATGAAGGGAATATAACATTTAATTTTACAACCTACCACAGGAAAATATGAAATTTCCCCCAAATGTACTATATATTTTAAACAAATCCAGAAATATTTTCTAACTACTAGTTGATTATTCTAAGACCTCTGAATTTACTCTAAGCAAAACAATCTTTTCTTATAAATCAAGTTATCATCTCACACCGTTGATTTAATTTCTAATTGATTCACATGTAGAAATCTGCAGCAGTCTAGTTAAAGTAGAATTTTTGTTCCCTGTCCTAATTGCAGATTTTTCTGCTTGCCCAATAGATAAATTCTGAGAATATTCTGAGAATATTCCCTTGTTACTTAAGCTTTCAATTATCTCTTTGTTTCTGCACTTTACTTCAGAGACTAGGAAGAACAATATTCAAAAGACCTTCCATTTTCACCAAATTAAAATTTCACAAGAAAAGAATGGGTCCCACTGGGGATGTGTAATAAAAAGTTCGAAAAAAACAAAAGCTCTATAAAGAAGGAAGTCACAGCCATAGTCACGGAAAGGTTAATAGTCAGGCTTTAGAATTACTACTCCAGTTTCCTTTCCTCTAAATTGAATGAAGTCTGAGGACTGTTCAGCCTTGTGTCCTCAAATTTCTTAGCGGAAATAAACTACAGTAGTTGCCCAATGTAATAACTGGCTTCCCTAGCTTACTTCCTCACTTCCTTATCAGTGTTTCTGATGATCATCTCCCAAATAAACTACTTATACTAAATCCTTGCCTTAGAGTTCACTTCTGGGAGAACCCAAATAAAGATTCAGTCTCAGTACCTGGCAATTCCACATCATCTGTCCTCATCTCCTTCCTCTTCAGAAACATACATAGTGCCCCCAAGTGCCTCCTTAGTTCACTGAATGCACTGCTCACCAACCTGAAAAATCACTAATTCATGTTCCATGTTCTCCACACAATCAACATAAAGACTCTGTTCTTTACTGAGAAACTGAGCAAATAAATTAGACCATGATGTTCAGATGCAGCAATTTGTAGAAATAACAGAGTAGGTAAATCAAAAGACCTTGTGCTAGGTTTGTCATTTACTAATTTGGTGACCTCAGTCAAATAACCTGTTGGGCTCAAATGTTTCAGCAACATGTAAAAGTTTCAGAATCAAAATGGAGCCACAAACAATTAAAAACAAAAATCTGACAGAGCCAGAAATGGCCATGAAGAGAGGGTTCTCCTGCTACTATGCCTGATAAAAGCTATTACAGAAAACTATACAAAATCACAATCTTGTGAAAAAGCCATGGAAACCTTATACAAAAAAAAATATTTCTACAAGGACAGCAACTGCGTATCCAACCTTGAACTAGTGTCACCGTTGTTACTGATATTTGTAGCTAAGGATAATTATTTCAAAATTATCATGTAATTCTCCTCATTTTTTCATTTCAAAATCTTTGTTGTCCTTTACCTCCCTTAATATGCATGCAAGTGGTTTACTATAGCATATATATACCCATTGCAATACTCTATTCCCAAATAAATTTCTTTTTCTTTTAGGGACCTCTCTCTGTTATTTAGGTTGACAAATGAAATGAGTATAATAATACTTGACTGAAAATTGCTATGAGTTAAAGAGTATAAAAGTCTTAGAGAATTAGAAAATATAGGATGAATAGGACACCACATCAAG